TAGTACTCATATGTTCTTGAATGCACTCTATTTTTTCCATTAGAGCCTTTAACATATTAATAACTGTTATTTTGACTATTTGAATTCCCGCCTAATTTTTTCTATTCTTTTTTTTTTTTTTTTTTTTATCCTTCCCTTTCAGGTATACATTTCGTTTACATTTATTCATTGGTGTTTTTTTTTTTTGGTACCGGGGATCGAACTTGGGACCTTGTGCTTGCGAGGCAGGCGCCAGAACCACTGAGCTAAATCCCTGGCCCCTCCCTGCCTAATTTTAACAACTGTGTTATAGCAGTCTGGTTCTGATGATTGCTTGTCTTTTCAGACTGTTTTTTTTAATTTCCTTGTATAATGCTTCATAATTTTTGTTGAAAGCTGGGCATATTGATAATAGGAACTGAGGTAAATAGCCCTTCAATGGGAGAAATAACAGCAGTCTCGTAAATTGGCTCCTATATGTGCTGTAGTTGCACATGTTAGAGATTTCAGTTCTTCTGTTTTCTTTGTTTTAATGTCTTTGGGTTTCTCTACTCCTCCTTGGAGACTTTGTGTCTTGCAGTTCTTAAATCGGTATCATTTTAGAGCTTGTTTGTGTGATAGTAAGAGTTGTAATGCCTTAAATTTATGAGTAAGGAAAATAACGATTCAGGGTGACCCCCAAATCCTCACTGCTAATGTGAGACGAATTTTTGAGCGGGTAAAGGTTGCCCCTAAGGTGACCCGCCTACTTTGCGGGATGCCTGGGAGTCGCGATCTGCCCGACCCCCTACACTCTTAAAAATCAGACTGTCCTTCAGTGGTTCCAAGGTCCCAAGTTCGATCCCAGGTACCAAAAAAAAAAAAAAAAAAAGAGAAAAAAAAAGTCAGACTGTCCTGATCCTTCTCTGGGAGTAGGCTGTTCCTTACTCTTGTGGGAGTTTGTAAAGTAGTGGGCTATAGGCGAGTACCTTGTTACTGTGTAGTGACCATTATTAGCACTGTCTGTTAATAATAATAATAAAAAAAGAGTTGTGCATGTGTGTTTATGTGTGTGTGTCAGGGATGTGACATTCTATAATTTTTGATTAAATTTCAGTCTTTCAATGGGTGTATGTCTTAGAGTTGTGACCATTTCAAGTATTTTCTTTAGTGCTGTAGGATTTTTTCTTCCAACCTGCTTCTTGAACTGGTTGAAGTATTCCCAATCTGTTTTCTTGAAGCTTTAATCTCTTTTGCCTCTATCTACCTCCTTTTTCCTCTGAGTCTGGAGAGGATTAGTAAGGAAGAGGAAGTTCTTTCTACCAATTGGGATAAGGCTCTGGCAAAAATTTTCTCTGGAAGAATAGGCCTTTGTTATAGACAAAGTTCTTGCTATTGTTCTCTCTCTCCCTTTTCATCTGCCAGAGTTGGATTTTCACTGTGAAAACATGGTGAGTTTCCTGGAGGTGAAATTATTCAAAGTGTGACCCCCTCCTCCAGGAGTTCCCGTTCTTAGGCTGTTTTGCACTTAGCATCCAGCACCTACCAGAAGGTTAGGGCTGTAGTAGCTCTTGCTTCGGATGAACAGGTCTCAGCTGCTGTGTTTCTGTTTAAGAAAGGGGGCTTAGATAGTTGGGCATCTGTTTTTTCTTTCTTTCCATATCTCATTTTATATCACTGTGATCTAGTAAACATAGCCTCCTGACTGTTCCTTAGGAAGTCTTTTCTTATACCTGGGCTTTTGCATTTGCTATTTCTTTGGCTTGAAGTTCTTTCCTCCTAATTCTTTCCAAGACTGACTCGTTCTTATTAAACCTGAGTATCAAATAGGCCTGTATTACCTATTACTTTTTCTTCATCTTTAGATTGCCGTATATTGTCCTGATTTATTTATTCATTTATGATACTGGGGATCGAACTTGGGTCTTTGTGGTTGCGCGACAGGCAGCGGAACCACTGAGTTAAGTCCCCCAGCCCTGATCCTGATTTATTATCTTCTGTATTTTCTGTCTCTTCCATTAGAATGTTAGGAAGACAGAAACTAGAGTGGCTTAACTCACTAGTAGGATTTCTGGTGTATAGTAGGGACTTATTAAGTATATGTTGAATTCATGAATGAAAACTGATAATTGAAGGAGTCAACAATATAAAGGTTAAGAGACTAGAACTAAGACCCTAACATGGGAAAGAATTTGCTGCAGTTAGTGAGCTGTAATATGAAAGTGGCAGAGGTGGAGGTATATTGAACATAGTAAGCTGTGACAAATAATTTGGATTTTATTTGACTTGTACTCAAAAGGTTTTAATGTGGAGTTTTATTTCAATCTATTTTATTTCTCTTATTTTTTTTTTTTTTTTGGCAGCTCTGTGAAGAGTAGATTGAGGGGGTGAAGATTGGAGGTGAGAGGCACTTGTAGAAGATAAAAACATTATTCGGATTAGCTTGTAGTAGTGGACATGATGGAAAATGGGTAGATGTGGGGTTTATTGTGGAAGTGGGGCTGACCATGACTTGCTGATGTCAAGAGTGAAAAAGTGAAGGTGAATAAATGATGACATCCAGGTTTGTTATTTGAGTAACTCAGTGAAAGATTGTGTTATTTACTGAAATGGGAAATATGAATGAGAAGATTGAAGGAGACACTAGACATACTATTGTGGTCAGTTTTACTTTAGATACTGTTAAGAGTTTTATTTGGGAATATCAAGTAGAGAATTGGATTCTAAATTAGTAAATTAAAGGAGACATTTGAATTGAGATGAAAATTTGGGAAACTGTTAGCACATATACACATTTGCCCCTTTAATCCATGACAATGAAAGATACTGCTTAGTTTATGGCAAGGAAAAAAGAATGTCTAGCATTTAAAAGTCATATGAAGGAGCCATGACCTGAGGACTTGGAGAAAGATTTGCTTCAGAAAGACATCTGGATTTTGTGGTACATTGCCAATTGAGGATTCATGGTACCGGCAAGAAGAATAAACACTGCTGACCGACAGTGCATTTCTGCAAAGAAACATGCAAAGTGGGAAAAACCTGAGAAGACAGATCAGTGTGCTTGAATTAAGGCTTTTAAGAAGAAAAGATACTGTTATGCATAACAAGTAATTGAATATATTCTTGGATATTTTGGTTTTTGATACAGTTGGAAAGTTTGAAAAGTATAAATTGAAGTTGGAAATAAATTTTTTGACTGAGAGTGTTGTTACTGACACCTAGTGGCAAAATGGAATATTGCAGTCTTAGTTATCTGTGGCAATGAAGAGAAACCTGTTTAGACCCCGAGCCCTGGAGATTTTATGCATGAATTTACTGTGGCTTACAGGGTCCTGTGTTTAGCCAACCTGTTTGTCCTGCCTCACTATCCCATTACCCATTTGGTCTCTGTATAGATTGCTTAATACATAGTTCTTTTTCTTTTTTTTTAAAACAGGTTACAGCTCATATATTTCCATCTCAGAGAGTTCTTTTCTACCACTTTAAAGTTATCTTTAGGGGCTGGGGATTTAGCTCAGTGGTTCCGCCGCCTGCCTTGCAAGAGCAAGAACCCGAGTTCGATCTCCAGTACCAAAAAAAAAAAAAAAAAGTTATCGTTATACTCCTCACAGTTTCCCTGTCATATTAACCTATTTTATATTCTTCATAACCTTTAGAGTCATTTCAAATTACCTTTTTTGTCTACTTGCTTGTTTCTTTCTTCATCACTCTGTAAGCTCCAGTACAGCAGCCTACCCATCTGCCTTACTCACTTGTGTAACCTTAGGGCTGTGTGCAGTATCTGTCCATAGGGTGTATCTTCAGTCAGAATTATTTGTAGGAATATACAGACCTCTGGAAAGGGGAAGGGTGTTGTATTTTTGAGAAGGTAAAGTAGAAAACAAAATCGTATTTTATTACTGTTAAGGCTTATATTTGGATTGTCACCCCAAAAGCCTCAGGCAGTGATAGGGGCTTTTTCAGATGTGGCTGGATCTAGAGTGTGATGCTGGGATCCAGGATGTGTGATTACTAAATTAGCCCACTGATTAGTTTCGGATAGTTCTGTGTGTGGATAATGGGCCTGGATAGAATATAAGAGACAGAAAGAGGACTGTAGCGGTTGCTTGTTGCTTGCTGTCATGTTGCTGTCTGCCTTCTGCCTGCCCTGCTTTGCCATGGACTGTTTGTCCTCACCAATGCCCCTCTGCCATGCCCCCTGCCTTGGAGCCAGCTAACTATGAACTGAAACCTCTACAGACTGAGCCAAATAAACCTTTCCGCTCTTAACTTTGGGTGTAGGGTATTTTGTCTCAGCAATGAAAAAAAGTAAGACAATTACTGTAACATTTTTTTCTGTGAAGAAATATGAGCCCCCTCCCCCCCCCATTTTGTGCTGATAAATGTTAACATGTCCGAAAAAGAAAAGATACACTCTAGGGTGTTGAATTCTGTTTTAGTCAGTCAACTTCAGGGACCCAGAAAAAGTATTTAAAGGTGTAATACTTGGTCTTAAGGAGATAAGATTTTTGAAAGCGTTTGGATTTAATAAAGTAATTAATTTTCTGAAAAAAAATTTTTTTTTGAGACAGGGTCTTGTTATGTTTCCCAGCCATGCTCTTGCCTCAGCCTCCCAAGTATTTGGGATACCAGGAGTATACCACCAGCAGAACGTGTTTATGTGTACGTATATGTGCGTGTGCATGTGTGTGAATTTGTAGATGTTTCTAGTATCATGCTTAATTATTTCCTTATTCAGAATAGCAAAAACAGTATTTTAATGAGAAATAAGTGAGCGAGGTAGAGGTAAATCTGTTCGGTTGAGATATGGGTTAGTTTGTATGTTTTTCTGGGAACAATATGGTTCTTTCAGTCTGGAAACTCAAAGTGAAAAAGAGTACATTTGCATCATGTGGCCCAGTCCAAGGAAGTAGCCTTTCTAATTTTAAAATCATTGTTTAGCAAGTAGGATTCTTCTTCATATGAACCATTTTTAAAGCTTCATTAGTTCATATTTTTAATTAGTTTATGTTTTTAATCTATTTTTTTTTGTTTTTTTAAAGTCCCTTGTTTTGGCAGGTGAATGTGGGAGAGAGAAGTTTGCAGAGCTGAAATGGAGGTCGGAGCTTCATTACAGAAGGTTAGTGGGTCATCTGATTCTGTGGCTGCAGTGAACAGTGAAGAATTTGTTTTGGTTCCTCAGCATGCAGATGATACTTCTACAAAAGATGATGAAAAACCTCAACTCAAGGTATCTTTTTCTTTTCTAATATGATGCTATGTTAAATTATTTTTTCTTTTAAACAATTTGGAGCTTATCTGAGGAGATGAATAAAGATTTAAGGGTTTTCTCAAGTACTGACCTTGAAAATAAAATCAATGTTTGACATATCTAGAGGCTGAATATTTGATTTGAGTATTTTTAAAGTATCTTGCTTTTGATTATTAATCCTTTAATTTGGAATTTTAGAATGTAGAAATAGAAGAGAAAATAGAAACAAAAGGGCAATTGCCTGATTAAGCTTGATTGTTAAATCTTACATAAATTTATCTTGTGTTTTTTTTTTCCTCTTCTGGGATTTAGAAGTTAATTACATAAAAGTTATGTTTTTCTTTCACTTCAGATACTTTTTTCCATTATGGTTTTATATTTTAAGTCATCAGGTAACATTCTGTTAGGTGATTTTACAGTTGACTTTTGTCTACATATTTTTAAAGTACATATATTATATTTTTGGCAGGAGAGTTTTCATTTAGATATGGTCTTTTTTCTTTTTCTTTTTTTTTTTCATTTTGGGATTGCCTTTCCTAATTCAGAGAAAAAGAAGCAAGAAAACCCAATTATATGTGCATGAAAATTGTCCTCTAGAAATAGGAATAGAAAATTAGTCAAAAATGCTGTTTTATGTATGATTTTTACTTAGTATTAAATATGCAATATTAACATATCAATTATATTAACTGATATTAACATCAGTATAATAAAATGTGTTGTGAAAATGTGATTATTACATATCTATTTTATATTGAAAATGTAGTCTTATTATCTTATTCAAATGATCAATGGCTTTATTTTAGATATCTGCATTTTTAGCATTATTGTGTTTAAGCCATCATTTATTGAGGCTTTATGTTATACCTGCTTTTAAGAAAAGTTAAGTCAATGTTTTTTTTTTTTTTTGAGATGGGGTCTCACTGTGTAGTTCAGGCTGGTCTTGAACTCACAGCAATTCACCCGCCTCAGCCTCCCAAGTGCTTGGATTACAGGCATGTGCCACCACACTTGGCTAAGTCAGTTTAAATTTATAGAAATTAGGGCTGGGGATTTAGCTCAGTGGTTCCACCACCTGCCTTGCAAGCACAAGGTCCTGAGTTTGATCCCTGGTACCAACAAAAAAGAAATTAACATTATTCCTCTTGGCAGCTAGCAAACAATGTATAAAAAAATTGGTAATATATCTATACTATGATGCCAAAAATATAATCTTTGAAATGATATTCACAGTAGACCCTATTCAAACTTATCTGACTTTTTTTCCTTTTAAAACACATAAATTTAGGATTATATGATTTTTAGGATATATTTCTAAAAAGAAAAACAAAACCCTTTGTTAATAAGATCTTATTTCAAATGAAGTTGGAAACTACTTGAAATGTTTTATGAAGAATCTTTTTGTGATACTAACAATTCTATCCTTTAGTTGGTTTTGGTATTCAGGATTTTAATGTGTTATATCTGTGTAACATTAGGTGTAACTATATGAGTTCTTAGTACTCAATAACTGTATATTTAAATGGATTTTTAAAACTCTTAGAATGAAACATTTTTCATAAATTGTATAGAAGTAAAATAGGATTGAAGCAGGATTATTTTGTTTTGTCTATAGATAGTTTCTAATGGAGATGAGCAATTGGAAAAAGCCATGGAAGAAATTCTGAGAGATTCTGAGAAAGGGCAAAGCAGTCTTCTTGTTGATTGTCAGAGTTCCAGTGAGATATCAGACCGTTTCCTTGGAGATGTTCCAGCCAGCCAAATACATAAGCCATCTCTTCAGTTAATTTTGGACCCATCTAATACAGGTGTTTTATTTAACTCTTAGAAATCATAAGGAAAATGGAGTAACATGATAATGAAAGTTTTAAGTTGAAAATTAGATAACCCTTGACTTTTTTTTAAAGATCAGGGCCATCAGACTTTCAGTTCTGAGAGTTAACACTTTGGTTCTTGTGTTTTTGCCCATATGTCTGCTTGTAAAAATCAGGTTTTGATGTTGTTTTAGAATAGACTCTGCCTAGGTTCTTATTTTACCCTCAGCACTTGGCACATGGTAAGTCCTCAATAGTCATTGTACAAATGAATAAATTCTTGGGCATCAGAATGGTGTACTGGACAGTCTTTCATATTATGTGCTTTTTTTTTTTTTTTTACTAGTAGCCCTCATAAGTTTTCCAGGATGGGTTTAAAAAAGTATAGGTGAACAATTCTGAGCAAAATAACATGTCAGCTCCATCAGAGAGAGAGAGAGTGTGTGAGTGTGTGTGTGTGTGTGTGTGTGTGTGTGTGTGTGTGAGAGAGAGAGAGAGAG